AGCTCCCCCAGTGCCCTGGGCACGCACGACGACGACGCTGCTTCTACCTAGGCGACTCCCGCCTCCACGACAGCATCTATCATGCCTGGCGGCGCACCTGTCGGATGATGCACACGAGATGCTCCATGGAATGCCACTAAGGAGATGAGAGAGAGAGGGAAAATGAAGATCTGACAGGTTATCCCTTCATCCAGCTTAACGGAGCAATCAAACGGTGTGACATTTCCCACATCAGTACTGACGATGCGGCCCACCGGTCAGATTTCATGTCAAAACATGATCAATCGTCATTTTAGTGTTTTAAGCAAACAACTACTCAAAATCGGTGTTTTTCACAAACTTTTATCAAAAAGGTGGTTTTTGGTACCGCCAGACGCAGTTATGGAGGTTTTTGGCAATTTACTCTGTCTATATGCCAGAGGCATCTTCAGAAAACGTTAAGACCACACTGTTCGAACGCAGTTTGGCATCCAACGCCGTCCCACATCGGCCTCATACCAGTCCCTTGTCTGTTTTCCCACTAACCGAAAGCAAACTAGATGCTTCGTGGGAGTGTGGATCGCCGCCAAGTAGTACTCTGACACCTCCGACCCATCCAAAACCGTACTCGGACCCATGTCTTCACCCCTTCCTTCTTTCTCTGCATCCGGTTCCTCCCTAATCGTCGCCGCAACTCTACCACCCTGGCTGCCCGCCAAGCCCTTCCCTGTATCTCCGTCGCTCCACCCGGCCGCCATGCGGCTTCGCCCGTGCCGCCGGTCCACACCTGTCGTCAACCCATTGTGTATGTACCATCCGCCCTTACCGGGGTTCACCACGTGTCCACACCCAACAAGTGTTTGGTGAAATTCGAGCGCTATTTTTTTGTCCCTTCTTTGAAATAATGGATTCGTGCATGTGTACGATCACTACATTGAGGTGTTCGACGACTTGTCCAACGAGAATGATTGTGTAGATGAAATGAAACAACAATGATTCAAGCGGTCCGACGAGGAGGATTATGCAGATGAAACGACAATGGCCGAAGGGTCTATCTATTTACTTTTACATTGTGTCATCATCTTCCTAGAGCACCAACTTAGGGACAATAGTTATCATTCTTAGTTTAACATGGATTCTGTCTAAGCAACATTAGGTGATGCATCAATATATGATCTTTTATGCTAAATCATAATATATAGTCACTACTTGAACTTTTTTCTGTCTTGCATTTATGGATTGCTTCACAAAAGTACAGCGGGATGATATATTTTTATATTGCATCATGCCCACTTTGATCATGTTGGTATTTGAGACGATTTATTATAATTTGCTAGTTGATTAAAATCTTATCATAAGAGAACATAGTTGTTAAGCTTTTGTTATTCATGCGGTTACTCTCATAAGATAGATGTAAAGTAATCATTGACTAAATTTCTGTGCATACACCTACAAAAGTGTTTGTAAAAGTTTTCTTCGTCGCATCAGTTTGTCAACCGAATTGCTGGAGGACAAGAAGCAAGTTTGAGGGAGCTGATGCGTCTCATACATATCGACTACCCCGAGCACTTATGCTATGTTTTGTCCTCTAACTTGCATAATTTGAATAAAACTGGAGCCAGAGGTGCTTGTGGGGCCCACGGGCCCACCCTTGTTGCACGGGGCCCATGGGGTACTGCTGTAGCGCCTCCCGACGCCTATATTATTCTCCTGTTGCGAAAGAATTTTTTTCAGAATTTTCTACGACACAGAGCTGCTGCCACCACAGCTCACCTTCTCGAAGGGCTATCCGGAGGTTGATCTGGCCTACTGAGAGGGGAATTCTTCGCATTGCCATCACCAACTTATCCATCATCACCATCATGATCTCCGTACTAATGTTTGAGTAATTCCTTTGTAGGCACTTGGGGTGGATGGGAATTGCATGATCCCTGATGTAATAGATGCCTGATTTGAATCGGGTTTGATGTGCCTAGTACTCTGTATGTTCTAAGGTTGATATTGTTATGATTTTTTCATACTTAATGCCTGACACTAAGGTATGAGTGTTATGATTTCAGATCTGAATTTTTTCATAATTATATATGTCCGTTTTGATGATATCTGTAAGTTGTATGCACTTATTATATATAGTTCTGAACAGGATGCCTTAAAGTGACAATAATCAGGATATCAGACATGATTGCTAGGATTTGAGAATTACATGTATTCATAGATTGCTAATGCTTCGCTCCGATATATTTTTAGAGGAGTATTTCAATTACCCTTAATTTTCATTAGGATCCCGTTGAAACAGGATGATAGGACAAAAGATGTTGTGCAAGTTCTTACTGCAAGCACATACAAGTACCTACGAAACACATGCCTACATGTAATTAATATATTGTAACTAGTTTGTTGCCATCTTGTGTTACAACTATTACATAATTTTTCTATCCGTGCAACATCAATTATTCACTTCCATGCCTACGGTTTTCATACTTGTTGCTCTCTGTAAGTTACTTCCGTTCTTGGTAAATGTCGGGAATTGCTGCTACTCTCAACATACTTTGCGATGGTGGTCCAAGGACCTTAATATAAATATGATTATATATGCGATGCTTTATATTTCCGGTGAATTCTTATAATAGATCTGAGTTCTTTTCAAAACAAAAGTTGATAACGCAGAATGGTACGAACCGTACTGTAGATACTCAAGATTATGTAAGGGCATCTTCAATACAGACCCTCCAAACGTCTAGACGTAGCTGTTCGAAAGTAGCTGGCCATATAACCAGTGCCCATCGATCTGTGAATTTGTTCAGTTGTCCATAATATCACAAACCAGGGTGCTATGCAGGCGTCTAAATTGTTGCCATTTACGTATCCGACACCCCGAACCTATCCAGAACCTCATCCGTGCCCACGCCCTCTCTTGTTGAAGTGGTTGCCGCATATTCATGTCAGCCAGGGAGGAAGAGCAGCCGACGCCGCTAGTGCCGACGTTGTGGCAGACACAGAAGGACCAACGCCACAATCTCCGGCTTTCTTTTTTTTGCCGGGAAAGAGATATCGTATTACTCACGGTGGTGCAAAATCGTTCGTACACAGAGTTACAACTTCATCAGTACTAGCACCCAGCCATACACAAGCTCTGGGTGTAACATGGCCATATCTCGCCAGCTCATGGCTGGGCCTATTCTATGCACGCTTGATAGAAGTAATAGCAATCTCCCTGTTCTGAGAAATCAAGGATTTAATCTCGCCAATCAAAGGCATATACCTCGACAGGGCCGGCCCTTGGCCTAGGCAAAGAGTGCGACCGCGCCTAGGGCCCGGCCAGGAAGGGGCCCCATATCTTGTGTACGTGTGTATACTTCTGTGTATATACTATAGTTATTATCCAGCCATGGATTCTTTTTATGAAAATGCATTGAAGCTTCGTTCTTTCCAGGAAGCACCACAATCTCTCTTCTTCAGTAAGCGTCTCCTCCCTTCTCATTGATTGCCACAAGTTCTGAAGAAGCCAGGGCCCCAGTGATGGAAATTTAATGATTCTTTTGATTCTATCACCACCTTAATCTTCTTCTTCATTCGGTTCGCACTAGGGCCCCCGAACTGCTAGGGCCGGCCCCTGTACCTCGAACGGTCACAAGCGGGGTCTTGGGTCATTTTGACCGCCTCGGCGCAATCGAGCTCAACAATGAAAGGTTTGGCCGTCCATTGAAGAGCCAACTGGATCCCTTCTCTGCACGCTTCAAGCTCCGCTTGGAGAGCATTATCACATATACGCAGCTCACGACATGCCGAGAAGATGATGGCACCAACCTCGTCGCAAAGTATCGATCTGCAAGATTTATCATGGTGATGCATAGCAACGAGAGGGGAAGAGTGTTGTCCATGTACCCTCGTAGATCATAAACGGAAGCGTTATGACAACGCGGTTGATGTAGTCGTATGTCTTTACGATCCGACCGATCCTAGTACCAAAAGTATGGCACCTCCGCGATGTGCACACGTTCAGCTCGGTGACGTCTCACAAACTCTCGATCTAGCTGAGTGTCAAAGGAGAGC